GAGCCAAAATAGCACTTCCTCGTACTCCCCAAGGCCACATACAGAAAGAGACTTCCACATAAATCTTACCAGGCAAGAAACTCCTTTTCGCACCTTCTCAGTTTCTAACTCAGGGGGGGATTGCAACCCTCGAGGCACAGTGGTGTTGCCTGGGAAGGTTTTTTAATGCCAATGCCTCTACCTCATTCTGAGATTATGGCTCGGTTGATTTAGGGTGGGCCTGAGTCTTTTCTGTTTTTGCTTTTGTTGGTTTGCTTGTTTTTAGGCTCCTCGGGTTCATTCAGAACTACAAAGCACTGCCACATAGGAACTTATTTTAAGTTTCCATTCCATAGTGAAAGGAGGGAGTTAAGCTGCAAGTGAGTGAACAGGAGAGCAAAGAGAGAAGGCAGTGGAATCCCATCTTTAAACACCCTAATCCCTTTGCCATTCCAACATGGAGGCATCTCACGTCAATAGTCCTTCCTTTTTGTGAAGGAAAAATGGGGTTGTTAGGATATACCCACTGCAGAATATCACTTTTATCCCCTTAGCTCATGCCACCTAAAGATTAGTAAAATATGACAATAGACTAGATATAATTAAAGGGTAAGAACTCTTGGTAGCACCCCAGGTTCTGTTTTATATGCAAGCTAGATGAAATAGCTAGCAATTATCCCACAGAGCCTAAACAATGAGAAGGATGATGGCATTTGTCATTCACATGCTTTGTACACTTTGTAAGACCCCCAAATCCTTGCTAAAAGGACTTGAAACTATTCATTTGGAAGCACAAGGAAGACAAGGCTTTCTTATTCAGCTACAATCATATTTCTTTGTGATAGGCCTTTTTAAGCTTGGGAGCATTTTACATTTTAAATGAATGTCTTCATTTGTGACGATGTGAATGTTCTGTAGCAATTAGTTTAGGATACTAAAGCCACACCCAGCTTCCACTATCTGTGGGATTCAAGGCATGCCAACTAGTTCATTGGTATTTTCATTCCCTGTCAACTCTAGAAACTCACTTTGATGATGAATGGAGTATTTTCAAAATAGTGTCCATCAAACAGGTGGCAATACGTTGACTTTTCTAAGGAAATAATTACATGCAGATGTTATTTGGGAAGCCTCCAAAGGAGCTTACATAGAAGGAATAATATACTGAGCCACAACCCCAAATCGCAAGCCAGTTTTCCCACACCCAGCGGTGAGTGGATGCCTCCCCAGGCTCCCTCATTTTGTCCCTAACATAGTGCCTTTCTGGCACTATGGAGGAACCCAACTGTATATAGAAATGTATTCCAGAATGTTCTTGTAATGTATTTTCTGAGGATAAAGTTACTTGTGTGATGAACAGTGACCTAGCAGAACAGAAATAGGACAGGAAATGAAGAGAGCAGATCCTTCAGTACACTTCAAAGCTGTTTCTTGGTTGCTCAAAATCACTAACATATATTAGTAAACAAGTCTTAAAACACACACTCATCATTTAGCTATTTAACAAACAAAAATACCATCTTGCATTGTGTCCAATGCGTAGCATACAAAGATGAACACATAGAACCTGTATACAGATGTGCATAATCTATAGAAGGAAATAAACATGAAAGTTTCTAAAAGACAATGCGATAAGGTTATGATAGCTTGTGAAATTCATTATTATGAAATTATCATTTAGGATATTGTATGCTAACTACATCAGGGAAAGCTCTCTATCCAAGACTTGGGGAAAAAAAATATAAGACTCAGTAACAGGAATACTATGTCCTCTGAATGTCTTGGGTTTAACTTAAATACTCTGAAGAATATAACCAGTTTCTCTCTCCCATTGAATTAGCAGCTTGAAAGCTCAAAGCTAATTTATAACATAATGTTAGTAAATGAGTAAGAGCCTCTATGATCAATTTTGTCTATTGATCTTCTACCTAGATTCAACTAATGTCACCCTGATTTTGTTTACTTTCTGTTGTTTTTGTTCCTTAAAAGTGCTGCAAATCCTCCTAATAATGAGACAGGTTATAAGAAAATAAATAAATAAACTGTGAAAAGAGAAGTCTGTTCAAGGTTTTATGAGAGCCAAGGGAAAGAGTGTAACACAGGCTGGCCGTGTTGCTAGGGGAGGTAGGGAAGGAGTCCTAGTGCAGATGGGAAAAGCATCACCATAATGACCCTGACAGCAGCCCTTGTTAATAATAGTAATGAAGAATAGCTAGACCTTGAAGAATAAACAATAACTATACCTTCCAATTGCGGGGTCCTCTCTATGGATCTGTGCTTTGCAAACATTATTTCTCTGATCTTCACAGCAATCCCAATAAGCAGATAATAATGTCCTCATGTTCCACACGACAGTATTGATGCTTCTGGAGCTGAGTAATTTGTCCAAGATACCACCTCACACCCAGTTGTCTTGCTTCAAGCACTACCATATTGTCACCCTGAAATTCACTTGCAAGGATAAGGGGATTGACACGGTGTTGTCAACCAGAGTAGCTCCAAGTATGTGCAAAAGGGGTGTGGGGTCTTGCAGCCGAAGGGGAAGCTACAGAGATAAGGAAGGGCAAAGCCAGGAATAATATTTCTTTAGGTAATAGGAAGATTTCAAAGGATTTTAATAAGAGAGTTACACGAAAATGGAGAAAAGGCAAAAGAGGCCTCAAACTCTGATCCTTCTGAAATCCAGTGGGGCTGTCAGAGTCTCCCGGGCAAAGAAGCTTTGAAAGATCACATGCCATCATTCACTACATGCCACAGATCACGGTGACTCATTGGTGCACAAGGGCGTTACAGTAGTATTTACTTCCAATGGGAAATAATTTTACGTAAGACAGATTTACTTTGAACTCCAACCTGGTGACTTCCAGTACCAAGGGAGGTTGTGGTAAAGCACCCTCTTCCTAAATAGCACCAGAAGCAATGTTAGAGAAAGGGCCTCATGCTCTTCAATCCCCCCAGCCCATAAAGCCTCTCTTCTGGACTCACAACGCTGACAGTGATGGTGATGAGAACGCGGTGATGGTGGGGGCAGGTGGCTCCTACTAGTTACTAAAGCAGCATTCACTTCTTCCTCGAACCCTCACAACCTCCCCAGGAGGAAGGCAACAGTATGTCCATATGACAGATGAAGGTTTAATCACACAGCTAATCAAGGGGTAGAGCTAGATTTTGAATCCAGGGCCAATGGACTCCGGAGCCTGTGTGGCAGGCAGCTACCCTGCCCTGCCTGCTGCGAGGAAGTAATTAGATACTGCAGTCATCTTATCATGTTTCCGAAGACTGCTTTTCTGTCTCGCTAGGAATTATCTGATTTATAGTAATAGAAAATGAGTTGTTGAGACTTTGCTTCTTTTACCTCCTTTTCTTTCTGATCACATACTTTTAGAAGACATAATGAGAGGATTTCGTGTGTGTGTGTGTGTGTGTGTGTGCATGCACATTAAATATGTGTGCAAATGGGGCCCCTGGGTGGCTCAGTCGGTCGAGTGTCTGCCATCTGCTCAGGTCATGACCTCAGGGTCCTGGAATCAAGCCCCGCATCAGGCTCCCCGCTCAGCAGGGACTCTGCTTGTTCCTCCCCCTCTACCCCTCCCCTTCCTGCTGGTTCTCTCTCAATCTCCCTTTCTCTCTCAGAGAAAATCTTAAAAAAAAAAAAAAGTGTGCACTTGCCAGTGATAACTCATACATTGAAAAGAGAAGGTGTGTAGATAAGAATTGCATTTTAGAAATAGACATGGTCAGATCCCAGCCTTGCCACTTACTGGGCGTGAGATTTAGACCTCCTGTGTGTCGGGCTCATTGCCTTTAAAATAGCAATGTTTCCAATTGAAGACTATTGCTTAACTACATTGAGAAAATATATCTGCAGTACTTAGCACAGAGTTAAGTACTCAGAATTGTTCATTCGTCTTCTAACTCCTCTTTGCTTTTTCGGCTTTCCTACCATAATCCAATTCTATTTGTACAAAGAACAAAAACCAGTGTATATGCCAGCCCTCCCACGGGGGCATTTATATCCTAGAGAAGGAGCTATGTGTCACTGCCACTAGGCAGCATTGTTGGTTCTTACCCTCTCCACGGACAAGGAATTCTAAATTTCATACAAGAATTCTTTAGACTGTAAGGAGACTGTAAGGGATCCTTATGCTATCAGCCCTCAGGTTAGCTGATCCACAGCTGTTTCAAGCCACTTGGGGTCTGCTATCTATGAGTTTATCATCTCATTATGTCAAATGTGAATACCCTCCTTTTTTTTTTTTTAAAGATTTTTTTATTTATTTATTTGAGAGAGAGAGAATGAGAGAGAGCAAGCACAAGAGAGGGGGGAGGGTCAGAGGGAGAAGCAGACTCCCTGCCGAGCAGGGAGCCCGATGCGGGACTCGATCCCGGGACTCCAGGATCATGACCTGAGCCGAAGGCAGTCACTTAACCAACTGAGCCACCCAGGCGCCCAAATACCCTCCTTTTGATTGACGTGAGCATCAACCCCCCTACAGGTATTCTACGACTTCTGCAAATATCCTTGGGAGTCTTTCCTTCTCTATCCCAGCCCTTCAATCCAAGTCGGTCTGACTCTAAAAAGTGTGGATGCCGGTTGCTAGTCACCAGTGGATTTAACTTATCTTGTTAGATATGGGGACTTTGCAAAGCTTAGATGATACTCTTTGCAACACCATTTGGTATAAATTTCATTTGCTGACCATTTATTTTGATGCATCAAACTCATCTCAAACTAACACAGGAGACTAGAAAGCAAGTGCACATTCTAGTTCTTTTGGCAGAGTCATGCATAATTTAAATATAATAACATATGATCGAGGCATTGAGAACTCTGCTCCTGATACCGAAATGTGCGCTGTATGCAGGCCAGCCCCAGCAGAGGCCTGACCTCATGCCTGGTGGGGCATTTGACGGGTCACGTAAGGTGTCCCTTAATCACCCGCTCTCTTGTAGAGCTCTACATATGTTCTCTTAAATGACTTTGCCCCACTGTTATCCTAATTTGAAATTTTATTCTTCAGCCACATAAATAGAAGAACACAGTTCGAAAACCCCGTCCTGGAAGCAAAAAGGAAGCTACAGCAGCATAACATGCCCCACACAGAACTTGGAACAAAGCCCCTGCAGGCCCCGGCTTTCCGAGGTGAGTACCATGTCCACCCGCCACATTTCAAAGGGAAAAATGATCTACCAAACTGCCTGCTCTTCCAAATATGCCTTTAGCTGGGACTATTTCAAATGATCAATCTGCTTTCCCCAAACCCCTCTCTTAGCTTTAGCTGGATGTTTGCTCTGCTCCGTGGATTAAGTTAAAGCCTCCGGTGGTACCTCATAGGAATGTGCAACAAGGTGCCAGGGGGAGATTCGTGGGTTTTGACAGTAGTACTTACTGTAAAGTGCAGATTCATAGAGACTCCTAGGTTTGTCCTCAAAAGACCACGCACAAGAATAAGGCTTGTTTTCCTTTGTGACAGTAGACAGTTCCTGGTCGACATTACCTAAGCCCACCTCCACCCGCCCCCGCGCGGTCCCTGAGAGGTCGCGCAGTGTGAATGACTTGTCTTACTATCCGCGGGACCGCGCCGGGAGGCCCTGGCCCTTCGGTACGTCCGTCTGTCTGTCCAGGGCTGCTTGCTGCCCTTGCCCACAACTTGGAGCCCCGTAGTGGGATGAGTTGCTGCACAAACTTCTCACGTCTTGTGGGCTCATACTCATAAATGAAAGCACGAATACCACACCCCTTCAGCACAAATGCCATGAATGTAAAGGTCTCACGGTAACTTCTCTCCGACTATAAATGTTACATTCATAAAGGAAACGTAGATGGCAAGGCCATATGCATTTTTCATTTGCATTTTAAAGGAAAAAATGTAAAATAAACTTAAATATAAAATAGAGAATGATTATATTTAATTTTTTTAGTGCAGATCTATGTGATGTATAAATACATGAAGTAAAATTCTAGTATGATGACTCATTGTATCTATTACATATCACCCAAGATGTAAAAGCAGCAAAAGCACCAAAATACTTAGCTAAGTTCCTATGTACGGTTTGGCTGTTACAAACATCAAATCATATCACCGAAAATGTAATAACTGAATGTATTCGTGTATGCACATGTATATACTTCGTGTGTGTGTGTGTGTATATATATATATATATATATACACACACTTGACTGAGATAGCATTTAAAGCAAATATTAGTTCTATTTCCTAGCATGACTATTATTTTTAAAGCATTTAATATGGTTAGGAATATGTTTATTACAGATCATAGCTGGAAAAGCATATTATGTAACAAACTAGTGGTCAGACCTAAATGAGTGGTTCCAAATTATGGTCAGATTATTTAGGTATATGATTCGAACGTATCAACATATTGTTACAAAATGTGTTACCTTTACATTCATAATGATATATAGAAATGTTGGCTTGCCTTTTCCTCACATCTTAGAGTATACTAAACACTTTGAGGTCAGTAGAACTTTATCTGGTTATCTTTATAGCATCTCACAATATAAGCAAAAGTTAACTCAGTCCCACATCCAGGTGATCCTTCTAAATAGTTTAGATATTTGAATAGATGGTAGCATTCCATGGGTCTTATTCTTTTAAAAAATAAAATAGTCCATCCTCGTTTTCCAGTTTTATCCCTTCAGAGTTTTGTGCAGGACCAGCCACTCACGCATACCTCCTGCTTGGATTCCTTTAGAACAGGACGAAAGTATCCAGATGTGTCTGGATGATTTGGGCTCCTCTTTATCTATAGCCTTTGACGGCCTGTTGATTTGGCCCTTTTTAAAAAGCCCAAGAAGGGCTAATTTGGTGAATGCAAACACTGACTTGACCGAAAATCTACAAACCACACAGCTTTTCACCTTTCCTGGATGCTTGGGACTGCTCTGTGTTTGCAGGAAGTACTAAAAATTCAGCTCCTGCAGTCACCACCTGCTTGCTTTTACTACAGGAGACACCCACACTTACCCCTGGGATGGCTGCTCAGGAGCTGGCTTTCCCCTGTGTAAGAACTTGCCTTAAATATGCTTTTTCTTTTTTAACTTATATTGACCAATGTAGAAAAACCACTCTTCACCCGGGATGCATCCCAATTGAAGGGAACATTCCTCAGCACCACCCTAAAAAAGAGCAACATGGGTTTTGGATTCACCATCATTGGTGGAGATGAGCCTGATGAGTTTCTGCAGGTGAAAAGTGTGATTCCAGATGGGCCTGCAGCACAGGATGGGAAAATGGAAACAGGTAAGGTCCTTACTGCTTTAGAAATTTGTTTTACAACATCTTTCTTCCAGGCCCCCCTCCCCACCCCAAGGCAAATAGGAGGAGCTTCTTTCTGTGTTTTTAATTTGAAGGTCAAAGATCACTTCACTTTAGGGAAACCAGAAATGATGTTTCTCCTAAGTTTAGGAGTATCAAATTGAAGTATTTTGGAAATAGCTCTAAATATCGTTTTTGTCTCATTTTTTCAGACTGGCCCTTCTACTTGCTGGATTTAATGGGCTCTTGAGATTGACACTTTTCTAATTTATTTTTAGAGTTCCTTCTTAGAGATGTGATTAACATTTCATACTACTCTACCTTATATTCAACCACTGATATTTTAAAATCTGTATTAATGTCGTGATATTCTCATGCTGAATTGCCCAGGTTAGATATTTAAATATGCATGCTCATCTCATAGAAAAAAAATTTGAATGGTATTCATCTTTATATGTCCCCATCAATGTTTTAATATATAAGGTTTTTTTCTGTAGTTCTTATGAATCAATTTTCACATGCAGTTGCTTGGATGTCTATCAAATTATAATCAAAATTCATTGAACATGGAGATATGGAGGCAAATTGTTAAAGGCACAAAAGCATAAAATATGAAAGGTCCACAGCGGTAGAGAAAAAAGTAATGAACTAAGTCTGGTTTTGCAGTTTGATTTTAAATTCTCCTACCTGGCCCATGACCTTGGATTAATCCCATAACTTGTAAATGCTAGTTTCCTTATCTGGGGAAAAAACAAAAAAAGAAGAAATCAGATTTGATCTTGTGTATTTAAAATACTGATTCAAGAATTTTGTAGCGTTTTTGAAATACATTAGAAAGAATATTATAAAGTACAGTAACTGTATCTCCAAAGAACCATATCACCGTTACACATTTTTCAGTGTTGATTTAATTTATGATATCAACTCGCCAAAGTTAATGTGTCTTAGTAGATATACAAATTAGAGAATTACTTTTGAGGAAAAGTTATCACATCTATGTGGTCTGTATATTTGTGAATTGTTGTATTACCATTTAGTAAATGGTTCCTCCAGAAATAACTGCTTTTCAAGGTCACCTAATGAACATATTTGTCACTCCCACTCACTAGTGGATAATAATCCATTTAATAGGTGTTACATCTCCTTAAAAGTTGAGCGAAGTTTAAAACTAACCCACCACATTTTTCAAACTCTACAGTTGTAAAAATCATGTGTACATAATTTTCTGTTAAGAGTTAAGTTAGAGCATGTCCAACTCTACTGTTCATCTGGTGATATTTTACTAAACATCCACACCTTCATGGTGCCAAAAAATCACAGAGAAACATCAAATGACTCAACTAAAAATCATCTTACTGCCTACAATTAGCATAAGAGGAAATTACAGAATTAATACCATCTTAGTAGAGGGACAGGGATCCCCAAAGCTTTTGAACTTCAGTGAAATACTTAATAAACCTATTTCTTTTCATAATAAGGAATAGTTATTTTTTTTCTCTGATCCTACCCACTATTCCATGTTTCAAAACTACAAAAGACTTTTTTCAGTGTAAACTTAGAGCAAAAAAAGACATTTGCCCAGCAAGGCTTTTTCCCTTCGTACTCATTCTGCTAGTTTGGTATAACACACACACACGCACACACACACACACAGTCTAAGCTTTTATTTAGAATTTAGCAGATTTTCTTCATTTAACATAATCCAAAACAGGTCCTAACAGAAAGAAGAACCTAGGATTTAATGCTATCCACTGTCTCAAATTTATTCCTATTCATTCATTCATTCATTCATTCATTCAGGAAACATGTGTTCAGCTCCTCACTTTCACAAACATCACAGTCCATAAGGGCGACAAAGATGGATAGGACAAGGCCCGGCTCTCAAGGGGTTTACGTCTAGGAAGGGCCTCCAATAGATAAACGGGAAGTTGTAACACAATATGAGTAGGATGACTCTGCAATAACCCTGAGGTTGGCACGAAATCAAGAGAGTGGGAGGAGGAAGGACAGAAATGTTTAAAAAGAAAAGTGTGTTCCTCACCATGTAATCTTATTGGGCTTTTAGAGAAGTGATAATCTCTCTCATCAGAAAAGAATGCCATAAAAGGTTGAAATCTACTGCTTATAAAATACTCGGGAAATTTAAATGTTTATTTTTAATTGTGAAGTAATTTAAAATAAAATGTACACACATTTCTGTGATATTCCATAAGTAGTAATAGGAATGGCTGCTCAGGTCATTCAGCTAATACTTTATGAATATCCATATGTCCCAGACATTCTGCTAATTATTAGGGATGCAAAAATGAAGAGACAAATGTTTCTATCCTTAAGAAGCTTACACTATAGAAATAATGAGTAGCAAGTTAATGAATATTTACATCAATGCAATAATAAAAATATGTACAAAGTCCAGAAATAAGCCAGAGGACTGGGAGATTGAGTCCACTGGGAGGTGCTTAGGGAGGGCCCTGTAGGGAAGATGATGCCTGACAGAGTTTTGAATGATGAAGAGGTGTTTGCTAGGTAGACAAATGAGAGCCACAGGAAGAGGAAACAACATAGGCAAAGGCACAGTAGTAGGGAATACCTAGATAAAGATTTATATGCCATCACAGCCCTATGGCAATATTCCAACTTCAGTAGGTATTCATGTGAACTATCAAATAAAATGATAATCATAACTGGTAAAGACAAGCTATTATGACATGTAGAAAATATTGAAGAATAGTATGTAGTCATATATCCTCAACTAAAAAACAGATTTCATAAATGCATGAATACGTATATATAAAATCTTTCTCATATAAATTTCTCATATAAATTTTGAACCAATTAGGCATAGAGCTGTACTCTGTTGGCTGATGTTTTCTTGATTTGTGTGTCCCTAGAACCTGAAACAGTGCAAGGCAAAGAACGTGTGCTCAATAAGTATTTGTTGGATGGATGGTTGGATGGATGGATGGATGGATGGATGGATGGATGGACTGACTGTTGGATACACTTAGAAATTAAGAAGTGAGGGCGCCTGGGTGGCTCAGTTGGTTGGGCGACTGCCTTCGGCTCAGGTCATGATCCTGGAGTCCCGGGATTGAGTCCCATATCGGGTTCCTTGATTAGCAGGGGGTCTGCCTCTCCCTCTGATCCTCCCCCCTCTCATGTGCTCTCTCTCTCTCATTCTCTCTCTCAAATAAATAAATAAAATCTAAAAAAAAAAAAAAAAAAGAAATTAAGAAGTGAAATTTGAATTGGCTGAATTCCACTTTAATAGCATAACCTGGTCAATGCTAATTGGACCAATAGCTTACCATTAAAGCAAAAACAAACCAACATTCCAGTTTCTAGAGGAAACTAAAAAGACAAAAACATGTTAGGGACAAAATTAATTTCCTTTTTTGTAATGACTTCATCTATAAGTGAGCCTCAAGATTTTTTTTAAATAGACACTACAGATAGAGTGATAAATCATTAGTATTTAAAAGGTGTGTGGTCTCAGGGTGCCTGGGTGGCTTAGCCAGTTGAGCATCCCACTCTTGGTTTCAGCTCTAGTCATGATCTCTGGGTTGTAGGATCAGCCAGAGTCAGGCTCCAGGATCAGTGGGGAGTCTGCTGGAGATTCTCTCTCTTTCCCTCAGCCCCTCCCACCACTCATGTTCTCTCTGTCTGTCTCTGTCTCTCTCTCAAATAAATAAAAAAGTCTTAAAAACGGTGAGTGGTCTCATTTGACATTGAAATATGCATGAAAATACTTGAATCTATTTTTCTAGCTCTAGCTTATCTCTAATCTAGGCAAAGAAATGTCAATAGTTTGTGTGGACACAAAGAAAGATCCACTCTACTAAAAAGTTGACCAAGGGTCCTACACAGTAAAAACAAGAGTAGGATGGGAATTCTTTCTTTCTTAGTCAGCACTGATTCATGGGAAGGGGTAGAGAACAGGGGAAAATGGGGACACTGTGCCCCTGGCTGCTTTTTGAAAACTAATTGAGCCAATCCCCAATGGTCCTATAATGTTCTAGAAGAAGCTTTCTTCGAAGAAATTACCATAGTGCCCAGAAACCATCCAACTTCTGATTATTAAGTATTCTACACATCCTGGCAATCATTTGTAGGCAGCAGAGATCCTGGAAATATTCTTTAAACTATTTTTAAAATCAAGATTGATATACTAAGGCTTACATAGAAACTGCAAAGTCTTGAGAGTTATTTATCTAGCAACCTTCAGTTAAAAAGCTTCTCTTGTTACATGATGTCTCCTGTTTTTCCTGAGGCTAATTTTTGAATCGAGTCTTGAGGTTTTCAAGAAATATAAGAGGGAGGAAAGCTGGCCTCTCTGTGAAGTTCTTCTATAGGTAGAGGTTGAATTATGAGGTCACTCACAACCTATTAGATTTTATTTGCCCTCTTCTAAAACATATCCATGTTATTAGTAAAATGGCAAGAAACTGGGAGACTAGCATCCTGACATTCTCTAGCTCCCGGCATTTCTCCATTTCCGCAGATCACGGTTGCTGCCCTTTTGCTGGTTGCTACCTTGTTCTTTGTGTTTCTGGAAGTAGAGGCATAAGATTAATTTTGCAAGAATCACCTGGCGAGCTTTTTAAAGATGCAGATTCCCGTGCCCCTGCGCCTACTGACACCCAATTTCTGGAAGTGGTTTTTTGGGCATGTGCATTTATACACTTTTAAAAATTGTCAAATCAATCCATGCATCTGGGAAAAAAAATCACATCAAAATATTTGTAATGCATAAAATATCTCCTGTCCTGCTCCTCCCCACCCTCCAGGCCCCTATCCCAGAGGCACTCAATCAGTTTGTATTCTTAGTGATGGTAAATACCTTCACACCTCCAATTAATGTGTTTATACTGTTGTCTTGATTTAACAGATTTAGACATGACCTATATTTACTTCCTCTTAGAAAGAAATGAAGATTTAGCTCTCAGCCTATGTCTTCCCATATTTTCCCAATAGAATTTTACAAC